ATGTTATATAACATTTCTTAATTTTATAATGCATCATTATTTTCAGCATCGCTTTTCCTGGTCAAAGTCTTTTATACACAAGGCACAAGGCTCCCTGTTCAGTGTATAATCTAATTTAATTTAGCCGTATCTGGGTCCGGAACATTCTCAGTTGTGTTGAGAAACTAAACTGCAAAACTGCCACCCCAGGTTCTTTAACATTCATGTGTGCTTTACCTTATTTATATACCACACATTATGCAATAATGACTGCAAAAAAAACAAGGAAGTCCTCTCCATTCATATCCAGCATGTACATTGGTCACGTTCAACCATACACTGCCTGTCTGCTCCCTGTGTTTCCCTTGGCTGTGGCTTCTGATCAGCTGCAACTGAAGCTTGTTAGTCTTACATATTCTTCCTGCCCTCTTGTTAACCAGCCACGGCTGCCTTGAATTTACTCCACTGTTAATCATATACAGGTGCATCTCAATAAATTAGAGTATCATCGATAAGTTAATTTATTTCAGCAATTCAATTCAAAAAGTGAAAGCCATATATAGATTTATCACACACAGAGTGATATATTTCAAGTGTTTATTTCCTTTCATTTTGATGATTATGGCTTGCAGCTAAGGAAACCCCAAAGTTCAGTATCTCAGAAAATTAGAATATTGTGACAAAGTTCAATATCGTAGACTCATGGTGCCACATTCCAATCAGCCAATTAACTCAAAACACCTGCAAAGGTTCCCTGAGCCTTTAAATGGTCTCTCTGTCTGGTTCACTAGGCTACACAATCATTGGGAAGCCTGCATGCTGACAACCTCTTGCCGGCATAACAGTCAACGATCGTTAGAACTCCAGTGAATCGTCCAGAGAGAGGGAGACCTGTCACAAAATCCAAAAATACATGAGACCAGGGGCGACGGGGAATCACAAGAGACTGCAATAGGCCTGCTGGAGCACAGGATGGGTTCTTATTTCGAGCGCAAGTAGGGCAAGCAGCGACATAAACCCGGATATCCTGCAGTATGGTAGGCCACCAGAAGCGCTGTCCTAGGAGTGTTCAGGGGTGACAAGCTAAAAGAGAGTCATGTCCCCACTGGAGGACCTGTGAGCATAAAAAGTCTGGGACAGTCGATTAGATGGACAGCCCACTGGGGCCTGGACAAATTGTTGCATGGTCTGAATGGCGTCATTTAGAGTGTTTGGCTTGCGGTTGTTGGAGCCTGGTCTGAAAGAGATAAGGAAGTTAAAACAATCGTATGTCACTCTTTTAGTGGAGTTATTCTTCAGATAAAGGTTTCAAGGTATCTTCTCTGGATTAGGGGACGCCAAAGCCTCTACTTTTGGGTGTTGCAGCTCGGGGAGGGGCGAGGTAAGTTACATTAATAGTAAAGGGGGGTGGGGTACTCCCGCGCACACACTCTAAACCTTCAAGTCATCACTGTGGCGTACAAATCCTGAAGCCAAGCTACCTCAATCATACAGTACAGGCAGGGTGGGCCTGAGGCGAGTTGACTTGGGGGCCAGGGACCCAGCTCCCTTGATTCCCAGTCATCTAGGGATGAGTTTTGTACTCCTACAGTGCGGACGTAGGTCCCATCCACTACATATATCCCCGAATAAAACGCCCGTAAAAGTTTGCAAAACCCAGGAAACGCTGTACATCCTTTTGGTTACGAGGTTGGGGCCACTCCAGCTACATATCTAGCTTGGGAAACAACGCACACCCAGGCACAAGCAGTCTAATACAATTTAGATAAAACAGAATGGAGTAAACATACCGACCGCCGCCTACCAAATGGTAGCTTCCAGTGAATCGTATGCACCTACAAAATAAACAATGAATTCAAACAGTCACGAGTGTGAACTACAACAGCAAGGAAAACCACCTGCATACCTATAACCACAGCGGAAGTCAGGTAACTGAGAGGACACCCAAAAGTGGCACCAACCACTGCCACTTTTATAGGGTGCCCACCTCTAAATACAATAATCGTCCTGCAGATTTAAAGGCACAGCTACCCAAAATGGCCATTCTGCCACATTATTAACTGGCAGTCGGAGCACGTCTCGAACAACGGGTTTTATTATTCAGACTGTCATCCAGGAAAAACAACCAAAGCGTAGTTCTGGACTCGTAGTCGTGAGACAGGCGGGACTCGGGCGATCTTCGCGGGTAATCCAGGGGGGCAGGGCAGGCTCAGGTCTGGGGACAGGCGGGTATTCAGGCGATCTTCTTCGGAAACTCAGAGGGCAAGGCTAGAATCGTCGTCAGGAAAGCAGAAATGGGTTAAGGCAACAGACAGCCAGAGGTATAGACGGGTGGGGGGAATATGAGACAGAACTGCTTGAACTTGCGAAAATATGCTGAAGTAGGACCATTTACCCAAGGACTTCAGCTGTCAGAGGGCGGAGTACCGTAACCGGTTCTACTGGAACCCGGAGCCAGAGGTGGGGAGCGCACTCCCTTCTCGGGAAAACCCCGAGGGCATGGAAGGGAAGCCCTGCGTGAAGTGAAAGGGGCATCCTCGGAGCGGTCCATGACAGAGATCTATATGCATGGGCACACCACCTTCACCTTCTTCTAACAATGCATTATCACCAACGAGCAGAAAGGTGCACCACCCTCAGCTCCTCCACTGACAGCACTACTGAATACATATGGCATTTTACACAACTGCACCTCTCACTGATAGTGAATGTATCCCTTATTTAAATTACTACAGCTCATCAAAACTGAAGTTTGGGTCCTTTCCAAACCTCCACAACATACTGGTTCTGAGTTACTGAACTGCACAATTTAAGAAGCCATGACATTTCTATTTCCTAATGTCATTACCTTCTGTTTAAGTTGATATGCTGTACAATTGGGAAACAATTTCATACAGATGGGTGAACACAGTGAAACGAGTGCCATTTCATTAAACTGCTTTATTTACATGTGGTTTGTTGTAATTATCTTCACTAGGGGGCACTGCAAGCAGAGACATTTACGTGCAACATGCAATGAGAGGGAGGGTGCTGGGTTATGAAAAGACCACATGTGGTTGTGCAGATTAAGCGGCATGGGCCTGATTTCATCAGATTTCTGTAGAGTGAAAGTGCAAGGAAGGATACTAACAGGATTAAAAGTTTTACATACGTTTATTTGGCTGGCTTTCCTGTTCCAGTTCTCAGCTGGTTTTACTGAGAGCTTTGGGCTAAATTTTAGCTAGAATAGACGTTTAGTTAAATGGTGATATAAAGACAGCGCAGTGTAGTACTTGAGTAATTGTTCTTTGTTGCTGTACTTAAATGTTTATGTAGACAACTTTGAGTATTAACATTATCAACTTAACTACAATTATAAAGAAATTCTGTACTTTGTACTAAACTATATTTGTACTGTATTTTTTTGTTATATGTACATTTGTCTGCAGCGCCATAATCAAAACACATAATTTTTCCTTTGGAAATTAAAATTGGTGGTATCGCCCATTCCTAGTTGACACAGGATGTTTTTTCAGAGATGCAAAAGGATTAAGTAGTTGATTCCTGTCGCTGGAATAGGATAATCTTGGGTTTCGATAATGTTTGCTATTATCATAAAATATAAATTAATGTAAATTAAAACTGTTAAGGCATGTTATAATGTTAATGTATACTTACATGCTGCTTATGAATGTTCTATGAATGCATCATAAAAGCATTATGAAGGTGCAGTAAAGCAAAATTTTTAACATCTGATGTCAAGCACGTTGTAAAAATGCATTTTGGAAACTTTAGTATACCATCAGTGGTTTTATTCATTATCTTCTCTGCTGTGTTCGAATACTGGAGGTTAATTATTTTTATGCATACAAGTGAGCCCAGTTTATGCTTGCTTACTGGGAACTGTTATATATGTACTGACTTTAAAGATTGTGTTTTGAGGACCAAGCTAGTTGTTCTGAAATTATTCAAGGAATTTTCAGCTAAATACTGTAAAGAAAACAATTATTGGTGATTTAGTTGAATGGTGCAATTATTGAATATGTATGAGACTGTTTTATTGAAACATTGAAACATATGCCAAAAACATAATTTATCTCTTTATAAGTTTTATACATAGTCTTGAAATACTCAGCATAAAGTGCCAAATAAAAGTTTTCCACAAAACTATAAATAAATAATATGATTTTGTACTCTGTTATGGATCATATATTGCATGGGATGAAGATTTTTGAATCTTCACAATCTATTACAAGAACATATATGAGAACAAACACAATATTTTAAAAAAGTGAAATATTTAAAGGTGCAGGACATGTAAAAATAGTTTTCACAGACCATAAAGATGGCAATGTTCAGGCATCATCATACACTCATCCTCCTTAATAGAGAGAAACATCCCCTTCTACGCTTGTCTTCAAAGACTGTCAGGCTATTTACATTGATTTTCCATAGAGAGCCTTGTAACGAAGGTGTGTCTCCAGGCACTTGAGGGCAACATCATCAACCTGAGGGTCAAACTTGTTTGCTAGAAGATGATGCTGATGCAGTATCCAGCGTAAGTCACCAGCACCAAAGATGCACACTGCCCTGCGGTGGCTTCCAGTACAGGGGGGGTACGGGGCCCCTTTACTCACATCCCCTTCCAGGTAACTCCACTTCACCAGTCGGGCTATGGCTGTCATATCTGAGTACTGGAATTTTATGTTGGGGGGACTGGATCCAGGCACATCTGGCATTCGGAGCAAAGTGGCCCACAGGTGCTCATCGGGGCTGTAGGTGTCTTTTTCCCATTCCAGAAGATTCTGTACTTCCTGGCTTTCAAGCACATGCCTTACAAATTCACGTGTGACTACGAAGTACGCATTGCCTGAGAACATGGGTGTGCTGATTGGAGGAGGGGTCTTCCTGATATCGGTCCTGATAACCGAGTCATGGGTGACATTGTGATGGTACTGCCAGCGGCCTTTCTTGTACTCCGATGTCTCCTCGGACTCCA